GCTGAATCAAGCTCCACGAGGACTGATAAACAGTTCGGAAAATGAAAAGACAAACTGGTTAATGGGCTGACGAATCCATTGCTTAAAGTCCCGAGGAGGAAAGTATTTACCTTCTCGCCTTAGCATTCATATTCACGCCGGATTAGTGGGACATCTATGACCGACTGGACAGACGCGGAACAATGAGGAGACACCAATCACCTCATTAAGTGCCAAAACCCTTGTATTCGATATTTGAGGTATAGTAGGACGGCCCCTGACATGATGGAAGAGACCACTGGTACGCGAAATACGCCATCACTCTTCCATTACAGCATTGCGGTTTCCTGGAAAGATCTAAATCATCGATGGATTTTGCAGATGGGCGGCTGATAAGTGGACAGATGAGTCAGAGGCGATTAGGCGCATGGATCCCAAATTCACTGAAGGTTGAGCGAATTGAAGGTGAATGGGGAACTCAGTAAGCAATAGGAGAATAAGCCCAAGAAGGTTTGCCTTTTGAAGGAACAGGTGAGTGGATTTACGGTAATGTGCATGCATCCATGTGCGTAGATCAGGATCGAGAATGGCTTGTTGGTAGGAGGAAAGGTGCGACTGACAAGAGATCAAATAAAAGCAACTGTTTACCCCTTAACTCTTAATTTTTAGAAGACCAGAAGCGTAAAAAATAAAATATTTGGTGAATTTTATGGCGTAGTCGTTGCCTTGTAAAGATTTTCCTATTCACTTTTCGGAACCGTAGTTGTAATTCATGCCACTATTGCATTATTGTTGTACTGGTGCAGGAAATTCCGCGGTGCTTCCACGCCTTCCAGATTGCTCACCTCCCCTCCTCTGCTTATACTTCCTTCCGCTTCCTTCCTTTATGTTCAGTGCCATGAATTTGTGGCCTCTCAATTGAACAGTCAACAAATTTTGTATTGTGGGCTTTTAACAGAACTGGTGAGAGCTATGCGTTGTCCCAAGTGTTGTATTTGTTCCACGCCTGCACCTGATTGACGGCAAGCAACTAAAAGTATTCAAATGACACTGAGCAGACCTTCTTCAACAATGCTGCATAAGTTCGAGCTGCCTCTGAATGCGCCAAAAAAGGCAATTAGAGAATTTGAATGCACTGTTAAAGCAAATCTGTGTAATGTCTTACATTTGCTAAAGAAAGTTTGAGCCACTCACAAATTTCTCGCTGCAGTGAAAGAATTGTCGCTAAGGATTGGCCGAGATACATCGACGCGATGCTAGTTTGATGATATCCTCGACTACGTAGCCTCTTCAGTCGCCGCGGATTTCCCTTCTGTTGAAGTCTATCAGTGAATAGCCGACAGAGTCGTGTACAGCTCCCATGAATGTTTCCTCCTTCCTGTACATACTTTAACGTTTGCGGAGGGTACTCTCGAGTCACCGACTAATGACCTCAGCACTTTCTGTCCCAACTTTGAAATGCCAAACATTTAGAGCCTCGGACTTTGTGTGATTCGTACTACGTCTCGCATAGCCACCCTAACATCAAACCCGGTCTTCCATGGATTGTTTTCACTAAAAATGGGCTCTGGCATTCATTTCCGGCACCACAAATTGAAGGACATACTTCGCACCTAGGCAGTCAGCCACTGCACATTTTCGCACAAAGAAGTAGATTTCATTTAAAAGCCTCCCCTAATATTTTATTTTAATTTATTTTATTACAAAACTGTGAGCTGTACCGGCGTTACTGCT